TCTTAATGCACCCCAGGATTCCATTGGCCTTCTTGGCCACGAGGGCACACTGCTGCCTCATGGTCAACTTGTCGTCCACCATGATACCCCGGTCCCTCTCTGCAGAGCTGCTCTCCAGAAGGTCGGTCCCCAGCCTGTACTGGTGTCTGGGGTTATTCCTCCCCAGGTGCAGGACCTTGCACTTGGCCTTGTTGAATTGCATGAGGTTTTTCACCGCCCAGTTTTCCAGTCTGTCCAGGTCCCTCTGGATGGCAGTGCAGCCCTCTGGGGTATCAGTTACTCCTCCCAGTTTGGTATCATCAGCAAACTTGCTGAGGGAGCACTCTGTGCCTTCATCCAGGTCATTGATGAATAAATTGAATAGGACTGGGCCAAGGACTGACCCCTGGGGGAACAACTAGACATTCCCAACATTTGTTGGGAATTCTTTTTTAAGAACTTTTAAAGGAAATTTTGAAATTATTTCCTTATTATTTGCTTAATTTAGAATAAAAAGCTGTTTGAATGGCAGATTGTTTTGTTGAAAGGGACTATTTGGTTCAGCTTTTGATTTAAGGCCCGTCTTCACCAAATAACTCATAATGACTCATAACTCATGATCTACTAGCTTTTTCTGGTGTTCTGGTATGAATATTTCATCCATGTGCTCTGCTTCTATCATAATAAAACCTACTGTATCCCTTCACCTCTAACTGTACATGCATAGTTCAAAGTGAGACCCTTTTAGGAGTTAAGTGAAATTTTGGCAATGTGCTTAGATGAACATTAGCATTGAAACAATTTGTTTGCAAAGGATACAGGGGACTAAAGAACAAAAGAAGCTTTTAGCAAATGACGACAGGGTTCTCTGCAGTGATGTGTACAATTTATGGAAACGCTGAGCCAAACACTTACTCTGTAGTCACTGGATGTCACATAAAATATAGGGAGAAAGGCCAGCCAAATGATGCACGTTGTGTACATTGTGAAACCGATAAACTTGGCTTCGTTGAAGTTCTCTGGGCATTTCCTTGTTTTGAAGGCATATACAGTGCATAAGACTACCAGGATTACATCATATGTTAATGAGATTAACATACTGGAATCTTTCACATTGCATTTCAATATGACAGTCTCTCTCTTCTCGGGAAGAGTGTACCGCCTGGTGCCAGGGGACTCCAAGATAAGCCACACGGACACCACCACAATCTGTACCAAAATGAGGCTCAGGCAGATGAAGACCTGAGAGCTGGGGCTGATGAACTTAGGCCTTTGAGCACCGTTCTTTACACCATCAAATATCCTGGCTATGCAGTTTGTTTTGGTCAGGAGGGCAGAGTAGCAGACAGCAAAGGAACTTCCTAGCCCTAGACGGCGCAGGGTGCAGATAGCTGGTGAGGGCTTGGCTATGAAGAAGAAGGTCATGCTGTAAGACAGGAAGACCCCAAAGAGCAGTATGTAGCACAGTTCACGGCCAGAGGCTTTGACCAGGGGGGTGTTGTTGTGCTTAATAAACACTCCAATGACCATAAAAGTACAAATAAAGCCCAGACATGCAATGGTAACAGGACCTATTGCCCATGCATCTTCCCACTTGATGTAATCTTCTGGTAGGTCGTAACAGCTGGTCAGGTCAGCCGTGGGCCATTTTCCAGGTCCACAGTCTGCACAGGTAAATTCATCAGCCAGGTACTCATAAGTTTCACAAGGAATACATATCCAACAGCAGACATCTCCTGGTTGCATATTCTTCATTTCATTTGGAGCACAGGGGTCACTGCATTGGGAAACAGGAACAGAGCTTCTGGACCAGTGGATAGAGTCTACTTCTAGTGACAAGGTCTCTGCCCAGTGACCAACCTTCACGTAGGAGTACCTGCCTCCAGTGTTCTGGAAATTGAACACATTGTATCGGCCTATCCCATCTCCATAGGCATCAAATTTGACCATGTTGTCTGCAGCATTGGGAGGATTGAAAGGAGCTGTGAAAAACAGAAACAGAACATTATTATCAAAACTGCAGATGGATTTTTTTTCCTTTTCTTTAGCAAGCACAGCTATTTGACAGCTTCTTCTTCACTTTGACAGGGATCAACAGGTGAGAGGTTTGAAACTAACTCCATAATCTTTGAAATGTTTTGTCATGTTAGAATTGGAAGAAGAAAAGAATTTGGATAGCAGAAATCCACTTAATTTCATGAGACACATTTGGAAGTGTGGAAGGTTATGTTAGAGTACCTCTTACTTATTTTTGCCCTGTGTATATATGAATTTTCTCATCATCTCCCCCTGTATGTACCATCACAACCTGTCACATTTTGTCTTGAAAGGAAAAGGTCTGGTTATGACAGTCAGTGTTATCTGGTGAAATTCAACTATCAGAATATAAGGAATTTTAAATGGTCAGATCCCTAAGCAGGAGTGTGAGGCTGACCATCTGGAATGAAACCAAAAGGAGGTTTTTTTCAGAGCATGATAGAGAAGTAACTATGAAGTCCTCAACAATTTCGACTATGTCGTTTTAACTTCTTACAATGTTTTGAACAGTTAAGTATACCTTCTACTTTACTTCATTTTTTATCAGTCTTATCAGTTTTGACATTTATTCTTGTTTCAGCTTCCCATCATATGCAGCTTTGATCCTATATCTTTGGGGAAAAACACAGCCTGAATCTGGGACTTATGAGAAATCAATATTGTAACACTTCCAGCTGTTAAGCTCTGGACAGTTTTTGTTTTTCCTCTAGCTGAAGCTCACGCAGGGAGTGAAGAATTATTAAAAATGTAGAAGAAAACTGCATTTACCATGTGATTTATTGGCCATTTGCTGCAGCATCAAAGGTGAAGTTTTTCAGGCAAGAAGCAAAGGTGGGTTTTTTTGCCACTGATGAGCAATAAAGGTGAATCCAATCCCTCTGTCTTTGGATAAATAAGTGATTACCATTTATTTTTCCCCACACTGGTACCCATTAGCTTTAACATCAGCAGTGCCTTATAAAGATGTAATATCTTCCTCCTCTTCAACCTCCAGATTCTTTGGGTTTCTTGCAGCAGATTTATTTAACATCAACAAAGCACTGAGGCCAAATTTCTGAGACCTTTACTTCTCTAGGGTTACCTTAATTTGCAGTACTCCCGCTAACGTCAGTAAAAGGAGCAGCAATTTTGGCACAGAAACCCTGATTGAAAGGGTGATGTATATCCTGCACCTCCTCAGGAGCTGGACTTGGAGGTGCATTTATTCCTGTTTTCTTCTTACCTTAGAGCAAGGTAGGAAGATAATTTTCTGCTTACCAGCTGTTTTTAAGCCAAGACTCTGCCTGTTTTTATCTCTGCCCTTTGCTGTACTTAACTCTCCTCCCCCACCACCCACCATCTGTATCTGGTATGGTGGTAGACAGCCCTGGTTTCTGGGATTACAAACAAGATCTGGGTAATCTAGGAATGCATAAAGAGATTATATTTCGCTCTTCTTCTTCACTACTGCTGTCTAGTTCAGCAAGTCTTGCCCTCAGTCTAGCCCCAAAAGACCCAATGCACGAAAACTAAAGGCAACACATTCCCTTAAATGGCCTCTTGGCAATAATGCGCTTGAAATTAAGCAAGTAGGTAGATAAATTCAAAATATAGGTCAACAAGAAATATCTCTCCTGTCTCCTAGCAAACAGGCATGCAAAACTCTCTCAGCCAGAAGCAGCATTAAAATGAAATCGTAATGCAGCACTTAACAGCTCTTCAATATTGTGTTGTCATTGCCAGTGTCTTATTTCATTATTCATAACACTTATATAGATTGTAGGAGCTGTTAACACAGCAGCTACATTTGAAGAGCCAATTTATTCACTTCAGTGTTATACAGGCCACGTCCTGGGGTGTGCTGAGAACCTGTGACTTCTGGGACCAGTGGAGCTACAGGGCCACAAGACAAACTGCGAACTGTTTACATGGCTTAATCTTCTGCCACATGCGTATCTTCAAGCACAAGATTACCCTACACTGCTTGTGTGCTGCAGATGAGACCTGTTTAGGTTCTTGATATGTAAGGGTCAGAAATAGTAGCACTTTGCAGGCCGAATTTCCCATGCAAGATGGACACTGATTCCTTAGCTCTTAGTTAAACAGGAAAAAAAAGTTTGCCTTGGACTTCACAGGTAGATCTGGAAGGCAGAGAAGATAATTCTGCATATTTAGGTTGAAGCTCATGAGTATGTTACCTTCTATGGGGCTGTTCCACATTACCCATGTGAAGAAAAGATTTTTGCAGGACAGCTTGTTTTAAGCCAGCCACAGTTCGTATATACTGTACAACAGCTGGAAACACTCATTTTTGGTAGTTACTGATAGAGGAAAATAAATCACACTTCTTTGAATGGGAAGGATGAAGTCATTTAACCAAACAATGATGTATTAAATTATACTATGGTGAGCCAAGGAATACAAATGAGCCCGCTGGGTGGCAGCAATTAATATATCTACTGATTACATATAAAACCACTAAGGTATTTTAACTGGTATTTATCAGTGTGTTCTAGATCATGTTGCACTGCTTCCAGAAAGCAGTGTTTTCAGAAAGGAAGATATATTAATTATAACAAGATACCTATATGCAATAATGCAAAATCATAAGAAAATGAGACTTTATTTCCTAGAGTGAAAAGAATAATTTTGCATAATGGAAGATGATTTTCCCAGAGATGAAATGTCAGTCCAAGTTATAAATCACCGAGTTAAAATTTTTTTGTACTTTAATTTCAATTTAGTGCATAAAACTAAAACTCTTTTAACACGGCTGTTTCTGGTGGGTTCTTTTCAGAGTTCCAATTAAACTCTTTTGAATTTGTCCCTTGGGAGGTAAGAGACAGGTCTTTCTGGTTATATATGTGTTGTTAGCTAAGAGGCTATCGAAATAAAAAGACAAACTTTTGTCTCCTTTGAGTAATGTCTGAATCTACTCCTCATCTTGAACTTCATGAATTGGATTATCCTTATGTAGAGCAAGAAAATGTGTAAAAGAAGTTACCTAGGAGAAGAAAGGATAATCAAAAGTGATTTAAAGATAAACCAGACATGCTTTGTGCTCAAGTTTGCTTTAGCAATGAAGATATAACACTAGCGACTTTTATCAGAACAGGAGAAACACTTTAGTGCTCAAAATACACAGGGCAAAAACCTATGAAACCATCGTGAATGCAGCCCATCTCTATCACCTAATGGAAGAAATCCTTAACTAAGCTTGGGAAAACCATTAAGAGACAGGGCAGGCTAGGAAAAGCAGATGACCTAACTAACCGGCCTGGAATCAGATGAAGGTGTTATTTATTTATTTATTTATTTTTATTTTTTTTAAAGCAATATCTTTGGGACAGGAACAATGTTTTCCATATAGACTCTCGCATGTGTCTGGCAGAGAACTGAATATATAAATGATGTCTTATAGAAAATAACATCTGTAATGCTTCCGGGTAGGAATACTGACAGATATGCCTACATTTGCAAAAGGAATTCATATCAAATGAAGAACACATCTGCTCTGTGTTTGCAGATTGTGTCCTTTCAAAACAAGGTGGAGATCAGAGCCATAACTCACTAGCTAGGAGGCAATTCATTAATAACAAAGCTTGATGAGAGCACTGTAGTTTTTCAGCTCTGCAGTTTCCATAGCTGTAGGATTTTGTGCGTCTCAGAAAGAAATATAGAAGCGGATATTGTGTGCACCAAGGGCATCTTCTTCAACAGCTTGCTAGCCCCAAAGACTTTCAGCCAGGAGATTGTAAAGATATCATGTGGATTATAAAGCAATGCAAGTGTGAAGAGGGAAAGAACTAGAGTTTCTGTGAAGTTGAGTAAAACCTTTTTAGTCTCACTAGATGGTGCTGCAAAAACTCTTAACTTCTGATTTAGGAATGAAAAACAAAACATTTGTTTATGAAATGGAAAAACATGTTTTTTTTTGCGGGAGGCGTTTTTCAATGCTCCCTATTTCTTTCTGTTACATATTCTGGGCAGTGCCTTGTTAAAGCAGTGTAAGGAAGAGCCATGATAATAATATAACAACAGGATATGGTGCGTTCGTCCATCCATCTGTGTGTATGATGTCTTATCTTGAAAAGTATAATAAAAGGAAGTAGTGTATCTTTTCATTTTATTTTTAGCTAGATACTATTTGCTGAGGTCAAAATAACTTATTTCTGCTTGTCTGAACATTCAGACCAAATGATGGAGCCCTGATTCACTCATCCTTGTTTCTATCTCAGCATAAAGCAGCTGTTTTCACCCTGAGTGACATGAGGGACATTGAAGTTTAGGGACTTGAAAGTTGATATAAGGAATGCTCAGGCTGAAGTTTCATTAGATTGTACTTCTCCACAATTAATAACTAATGAATGGGCTTAAAATATCAATTTTCACAGCCAAATGGTCATTTATAACCTTTACACCATTCACAGAATCACAGAATCCCAGAATGGCTGAGGTTGGAAGGGGCCTCTAGAGATCATCTAGTCCAACCCTCTGCTCCAGCAAAGACACCCAGAGCATGTGGCACAGGGTGGCATCCAGGCGAGTTTTGAAGAAGGAGGCTCCACGGCCTCTCTGGGCTGCCGGTGTGAGGACTTCGTCACCCTCACAGTAAAGTTCTTCCTCATATAGAGATGGAACTTCCTGTGTTTTAATTTGTACCCATTATCCCTTGTCCTGTCACTGGCCACCAGCAAGAAGAGTTTGGCCTCATCTTCTTTACATTTTCCCCTCAGGTATTTATACATATTGATCAGATCTCTTCTCAGTTTTCTGTGGACTAAACAGGCCCAGCTTGCTTGGTCTTTTCTCATAAGATAGATGCTCCAGTCCCTTAATCATCTTTGTCTCTCTACACTGGACCCTTTCTAGAAGTTCCACATCCCTCTAAAACATCCACGTTCCAAGTCGCTCCACGTCACATTTCTGGATGTGCTCATCTCATCAGCAGTCTGGCTTCTTCTCA